GGACAAGGAGCACATAACTACGTCATCACGTTCATCGACGCCGCCACACGATACGTCTGGCACTTCAACCTCCCGAGCCGGGACATGGCCTTCGAAGCTTTCGTCGCCTGGCTTCCAGCAGCAGAACGGGAATTAGGAGCGAAGCTGAAAAGCTTCTAGTCAGACGGGGGAGGGAAATATCAATCGCAAAGGTTCAAGCAATACCTGGCAGAACGAGGCATCAAGCGGCTCATCTCCCTTCCCTACGCCCACCAACAGCAAGGTGTAGCAGAAAGGATGAACAGGACTCTCCAGAACACCATGCGCAAGCTGCTGCGTGGCATGCGGCTACCCAACCACCAGTGGCCCGAAGCAATGGACCATACTGTGACGCTGCACAACTTGCTTTCGTCATCATCGCTCCCGAACAACGCATCACCGCATCTGCTGTGGACAGGAAAACTGGGCAGCACAAAAATGTTGCGAGTGTTCGGCTGCATGGTACAGTACCGACCCCCAACTGCACGAGCCGGCCGATTCTCTCAACGCGCACAGTGGGGAGTACACCTGGGCATCGAAAAACATTACAACGCATGGAAGATCTTCGACGTCCACTCGAAGGAAACAGTAGCAGCACGTGACGTGATTTTCTACGAACGACTCACCCTCCCAATGTACCTTGCCAACCTGGAAGAAGAACGAGACCCCACAGGCGGATTTCATGGTGACCGAGCCTTCGCTTCGGCAGCAGACGAAGCTGACTGGGACGAGCAGAACGTGGACGGAGCATCGGAGGAAGCCGGACCTCTACCCTACTGCTCAGAAGACATCCCGATGGACGACGACAACCCTCGCGAAAGCATCAACGCCGAAGTCTACTACGACCTCGCCGACAACGGTTACGTTACACCTCAACCAGTCAACACCAACATCTCAGAACGCATAGGACCCAATTTCTTACCTGATCCAGAAGCGGGAGACGAAGCAGTTTATCCCGAGGACCCAAATTCCCCCCGACTCTCACAGAGTGGACTGCAGATACTAGGACTCGTCACCGCCATCCACGGAGCAACACCACCTAAGGAGCCTGCACAATTCAGCAGGCTCTGGGGGGGGGAGCACAAGGAAAAATGGCGCGAAGCCATGGACAGGGAATTGAAGGCGCTGGAAGAACGCAACACCTGGAAGGTCGTACCCATCAAAGTGGCACGCAACAAGACAATACTCACCGGGAAATGGGTCTTCCTCGTGAGGACAAAAGCTGACGGAACCATCGACAAATTCAAGGCACGATGGGTCGTACGCGGCTTCGACCAAGAACACGGACGAGACTTCACCGAAACTTTCACGCCGGTCAGCCGACGCACCTCACTGCGGATTCTCCTTGCGATAGCGGCCATGAAGCAGAAGAAGCTCCACCAAATCGATGTCGCCAACGCCTTTCTCTACGCCCCCGACGATGTTGAGATCTTCGCCGAACAACCACACGGCTCCAACGCAGATCCTAACCAAGTCTGTCAGCTGCTAAAATCCTTATACGGCATTAAACAAGCTTCAAGACTGTGGCAGCAATACCTACACGCTCGGCTAATCCGCATCGGATTCCGCCAACTCCGCACGACCAAGGCATGTACCGACTCACGAAAGGCACCGACTACATCCTGATTATCGACTACGTGGACGATCTGCTCTACATCGGCTCAACCGACGGCATCACGACGTGGTTCAAAGGGGAGCTGCAGCGGGATCTGACACTCACCGTCTCCTCCACCATAACACAGTACCTCGGGCTCAACATACAAAAAGGGGAGAACGCGATCTAACTCAGTGCCGCGAAATACGCCGACACCATCGCCAAGCGCTTCGGATTAACCCCAGCCACTATCTCCATGCCATACCGCTACACCGCCGGAAATCACAAGGAAACCTCCGCTTCGCTCAAACCCGCCGGCATACGCGACTACCAGCGAAAGCTAGGATGTCTGCTCTTCGCAGCCGTAACCTGCCGACCGGATCTATCGTATTCAGCGAGCCAACTCGCCACCTATCTGAAGAAGCCCGAAGCATAGCACATTGCGGAGCTCGACCGTGCACTCCACTACCTCGTCAGCACCCCGACAATCGGCCTAACCTACCACAAAACCGGAACCATGACACCCAAGTTAATCGGCTACGTGGATGCTGACCACGCCGGCGACTCCGACAACAGGCGCTCGCGCACCGGCTACGTCTACCGGCTCGAACCTATCGGACCTATCTCATGGCAGTCTAGCAAGCAAGAGCTAATTGCTCTCTCCTCAGCCGAAGCAGAATACATCGCACTCTGCTCAGCCACCAAGGAAGGATTATACCTTTGCAAACTGTTGGAAGAAGCGAAGCTGGCCCAGTTACCCAACTTCTCCCTGTTCTGCGACAACCAATCAGCCATCCGCATAGCGAACAAGAATGGGTTTGCAAACCGAACGAAGCACATCGCCCTGCGATATTTCTTCGTGAAGGACGAAATCGAGAAGGGGAGACTCGAGCTGTCCTACTGCCCCACATCTGAGATGGCAACAGATTACTTAACCAAGAAAATCGGAAAGCAGAAGTTTGAGTACTGCATGCTGCTGACCGGGCAAGGCCACGTCACCAGCAGCGACACTCCAGAAGCGAAGGGGAGTGTTGGAAACATGTAATTTAAACGTTTCTGATGTGTCGGAACATCGAACTGTAAACGAAGCGAGTTACAACGAAGCAACAGCGTGTCAAACGCGGAGGTTGACAAAATGTAACTGCCGGAGGTTATGCGAAGGTCAAAGGTCAGTTACCTTTGATTCGCCAGGAGGCAGCGTGATGTCAGAGGTCCACTGGTGATCCCCGATTGATCCTAGGGAAGGGTTACAGGCATGGCGGCCTGGGGGGTTATGGGCGCACTCACCCGCTACACAAACAAGCCCTTTTATCCCAATGGTTAGTGGTTGGGATTCTGACATGGTATCAGAGCGAAGGTCTCGGGTTCGAATCCCGGTGTATGCACCTCGGGCATCCCAGTGCGGGGGGGTGTCAGAGGTCCACTGGTGATCCCCGATTGATCCTAGGGAAGGGTTACAGGCATGGCGGCCTGGGGGGTTATGGGCGCACTCACCCGCTACACAAACAAGCCCTTTTATCCCAATGGTTAGTGGTTGGGATTCTGACACGCGACAGCAAGGACAAACAACTGACTCGGTATTGAGCAGTTGCCCGAGTCGTCGCTGTATCGAACCGCAACAGCAACAATAAAACAGTTAGTTACATCTTTTTAATATTCCTTGTAATCTTATAAAAGGCATGTATTACTTTGCTATAATCAATCAATCTTGCCCTCACACACTAGCGCAAGGTGGTTCAATAATCTATCCAGCGCCTTAGATATCAGACTTTGGAGCCTGAATCAGAGTCCATTCAAACTTTTTTTTTAACCTAATCTGAACTCAAAGAAATTACTTCTGTACCTTGTCTGATTTTTCAGAGGTTTTTTTTATGAGTTGTCTGAAATTTCAGCCTAATTTTACAAGTATAGGCTGAGCCTCAGACTTGTATCGGGGATACACTCTGCGCGCTTATCATAGCAGAGTTTCCTAGAAGTTTTGTTTCGATATGCCCACTTCCGAGATGGCAGTGGAGTGCCAGGACGTGAGCAACGCACACTTCAACAGCTGGGACATCCGAATACACTCGTTCGTCGAGAATATTTTCCAGTTACGTTGAGGAAATGGTTGCGTGATTACGAGATTTCTAAGACAAAATCTCGTCACATGTAAGTTATCGCTAATGTATTGTAAAGAATAGGCGACTTTGATGCCGATTCGCTGTAAAAACATCTGCAGCACGCACTGCTGTAAAATTGCGAAGGTCCTGATTTGTAGTGAAAGTTTCGTGTGGCACTGCCTGATGCTCACACGCCACGCCAAACAACAGTTTCTGCCTGCTGCCAGCTCAGCTGCGTGGCACTTGGCCCACCTGATACAGGTCGGGTGAACGATCGCATCGCATCGCTTGAAACGCAAATCCAAAATTGACAAAATCGGCACACAGGCGAGAAAATGGGTACAGAACGGTAATCACACACACGACAAAACAAAATGAGATCAGCAGAAACAACCATGCGCTGCACGTGACAAAAACACCGGAACGCCGCCGACATGAGCAGAGGCGATGCACGAGCACGTTGCCTGATGCGTTGGTAGGCTGTAATCAGCTTCAACACTATTATAACTGTGCTTTTACGAAACTGCATGAATATCTTAGAATTTGAACTCTGACAGTTCAGACAAAAAAAAATGTGCTTGTCTGAATTTTCAGACTAAAATTTTTAGGCACCTCTGACAGTCAAAGTTCCAGGATGGGTGTACTCTGATCGATAAGAGTGCCTCAAAATGAATCTAGGGGCCTGATTCTATCATTAAAACGCTTCCGCAATTACAACATTCCTACTCAGGGTCTTAGCCTTGAAAAGATCCTAAGGGCTTTTGTCAGACCAACACCATCTACCACCCACGTACGGTAATCGGTCACGCATGTAACCACCTACGTGTGAAAATTACGGTACCATGCGTATAACCAGCTCCCGTAGTTATGCGTGTAACTGGCCGTGTGTGTAACTGGCCATGCGTGCAACCGGCCATGCGTATAGTCTCCAATTTGTGTAACCGTGAGCGTAATCAAACTATCGTATGTGTGTAACCAACCATGCATGTAACAGCCACGAGCATAGGCGAGTAGAGACGTAAGATGAATCTAAGGCGATCTACCTGCCAGTATACCAGTTTGTCAAATCAGTTTCAGTGGAAATAGTGTAAAACATGCCGCATATTTTATTACTGTTGTGTCAGATATACCAGTAGCACATGCACCATTACAACTGTACACATGTACATGATCATTCACTGTACAGGAGCGTATACCTGTAAGCACATACAGCATACACACACAGCCTGGCACGTGCAGAGCAGCAGATGTTGCATTGCCATCTCGACTTCATGTTGGGCACAGCTGCATTAAAGCCTTGCTGCCAGCGCTGCTGTTTTGCGGGAGACACACGCCTCAATGCTGCCGTGGGGCTCGCTGGTGGGCAGATACACGTCATCCTCGAACTGATGTGATAGGGGTAGGGTGAGGGGGTTGCATGGAGGAGTGGGTGAAGCAAGTGGGGGGCGAGTGTGCAGGGGTCCCACACACGGCTCGATGCTGTCAGGAGGCTCGCTGGTGGGTGAATACATTGCGTCCTCATGCTGATGAGAGCGGGGAAGCATGCAGAGGGTGGGAAACAGGGAGTGAGAAGTGAGAGGGGAGTGCGAGGGCAGTGAGAGGGGAGGGAGAAGGGAGTGAGAGGGGGGTGAGAAGGCAGTGAGAGGGGAGCGAGAAGGCAGTGAGAGGGGAGTGAGAAGGAAGTGAGAGGGGAGTGAGAAGAAAGTGAGAGGGGAGTGAGTGAGTGAGACCATAAGAGAGCACTGGTTGGCATTCACAAGTGGATGGGGGACTGGGAGGGAGGGAGGCAGGGAAGAGCCAAGTGAGCGCATGGCATGGGGCCCTCTACGCAGTGGTGCTACCAGCACTTGGGGCCTGGCCTGTGGTCCGCACATTGGCTGTCATGGCTCGTGGTGGGAGCAGGGCAGCACCATCGCACCTTGAGGCCGATGCCTGGCAGGTTGACGGGGATGAAGTGCAGATTGGGCAGCTTCAGATGCACGCTGTCCGCCTCTGGCACTCTGGTGGGTGTAGTGAGAATATCGCATGGGATGTGATGTAGATGGAGAGGTATAGATACAAAACAGAGACACGTATTAACAAGGTGTGATGTAGAGAAAGAGCGGGCAACAGCGATGCACTGTAGTGAAAGAGGCACGCTTCCCACCTCATTATGGAAAAAGGAGGCACTTTTACTGACGGCTGGATGCAGTGAGAGAGGTACGCACAAGATGTGTCACAGGGAGATGTGTTACAGGGAGATGGGCACAGGGAGATGGGCACAGGGAGATGGGCAGAGATATAAGATGAGCTATTGAACGGCATGCTCAAAGTCATGCCCAACCGAGGTGTCACATACATCCCTCTTCCCCATCCGTCTCACCTTAAGAGCACCTGCTCGCCCATGAGGTAGAGTGTGTGCTGCACCAAGGGGCTCTAGACTCCCCCCACTGGCGGCCCAAACAAGGGGTCTGTCAGGGCTGCCATGGCTGCTGAGAAGCAGAGGGTGCGCCACACATCCCTCGCCCCAATCAACCCACCTTCAAGGCACAGCGCAGCGCCCTCACTGTGAGAGCACCTCCTCACCCATGAGGTACAGTGTGCGCTGCACCGAGGGGCTGTACACTCCCCCTTGCGGCAGCCCAAAGGGTGTCTGACAGGGCTGCCTTGGCTGCTGAAAAGCAGAGGGCGCGACACACACCGTGTGTGAGAGGCAGGAAGCAGAGAGTGTTACGAGCACCGCTGTGCACAGCGATCTCACCGTGACAGCACCTCCTCGCCCATGAGGTAAAGCGTGCGCTGCACAGAAGGGCTGTACACTCCCCCTTGGGGCGGGCCAAAGAAAGTGTCGGTGAGGGCTGCCTTGGCTGTCGAGTAGGCCGCATTGAAGCATGGCGGGTCACGTGAGTAGCTGTGGGTGGGAGAGAGAGAGCAGAAAAGGGATATCAGAAGGGTTGGTTGAGAGGGAGGGTATGCGTGGGCTGCCTTGGCTGCTGAAAAAGCCCGCAGGGGAAGGAAAAAGTTCATCACATGGGGCACAAACACGTGACACACAGCAAGAAGCGTGCAAGGGGTAACAGAGTTAGGGGTAGTCAGAGATAAGGGAGTCAGAGATAGGGGAGTCAGAGATAGGGGAGTCAGAGAAGGGGTGGTCAGAGACAACGAGTGGTGTGAGGCAGAGATGTGCGCATTCATGGCATTCATGGCACACTTCTCACCTCCACGTGCCACTCACTGCTCACCTCCACGTGGCACTCACTGCTCACCTCCACGTGGCCTGCACTGTGGTGGCGAGGATGCGCTCCCTTGTGTCTGGCAGCAGTGTGTTCTGATCGCGTATGAAGCCCTCAAAGCCGGACTGGAGATTTGAGGGGGAAAGTCAAGCAGAGAGATGAGAGCAGAGCGCAGAGTGCAGTGGGCAAAGGACAGCAGAGAAATCGATAAGGCTGTGGCTCCTTGTGTGTGGCAGTAGCGTTCTCTGGTTGCGCATGAAACCCTCAAAGCCAGATTGAGAGGAGGATACAGGGGAGCAAAGGGAAAGAGAAGTAGAGAAAAGAAGGGGAGCAGAGAGAAAATGGGAGAGAGGAGAGCAAGAAGAAATGGAGCAGGGAGAGAGGAGGGCGGAGAGGAAGGAGAGCGGAGAGGAAGGAGAGCGGAGAGGAAGGAGAGCGGAGAGGAAGGAGAGCAGAGAGGAAGGAGAGCAGAGAGGAAGGAGAGCGGAGAGGAAGGAGAGCGGAGAGGAAGGAGAGCGGAGAGAAAGAAGAGAAGGGAGAAAGGAGAGCAGGGATGAAAGGGCGGCGCCCAAATGAGTGAGAATGGGCTCGCTGGTGCTGTGAACAAGATCTTCCAATCGTGAGCCATGGCGGATCGGGGGAGAAATGTGACGGTGGAAGGTGAGAGGGTGGAAGGTGAGAGGGTGGAAGGTGAGAGGGTGGAAGGTGAGAGGGTGGAAGGTGAGAGGGTGAAGCAGAGTGTGAAGTGGAAGAGAGGGGGGTGCCGGGAAGGGAGAACGGGAGGGAGGTGAAGGGGAGGGCGATGGGGAGGTGACGACGCCCTCAAAGACGGATTGACACAGTGAAGGAAGCAGGGAGGAAGGGAGAGAAACAATGAGTGGTGTGGTGTGAAGAGTATTGGCATCGGATTCACTGTCTCAAATTCTATGCAAACAATGCAATGGCGTTGCCCTCACCATCCTTAATCAGGTGATTGTCTCAACCCTCCCACTCCCCTCACAGCCCTCTAGCCTCTGCCTCTCCTCCATGGTCTCGTCTTGACTCTCAAGCACAGGCTACTCCTCCACGCCCACCCTCACACTGTGCTGCCCCGCTCCCTTCACCATCCACAACCATGTCAGCACAACAACCCTCTCATTACCCCCTCACTGATCTCAACCCTCACACTCTCCTCGCTGCCCTTTACCCTCACTGCCCTCCCCCATCAATGACCACTGCATTATATCATCCCCAACATTCCCCTCACTGCTCTCTCAACCCCCACTCTCTGCCTCACCTGGGTCGTCTTGAGCACCGAGTATTCCTCAACACCCGCCCGCACTCGGTGCTGCCCCGCTGCATCCACCTCCACCTCCGCCACCCGCCTCTCCCTGCCCAGCGTGAAACCTGCCATGCCGTGCCGTGCCATGCAACGACATGCCATGCCGTGCCGTGCCATGCCATGCCATGCCGTGCCGTGCCATGCCATGCCATGCCGTGCCATGCCATGCCATGCCATGCCGTGCCGTGCCATGCCATGCCATGCCGTGCCGTGCCATGCCATGCCATGCCGTGCCATGCCATGCCATGCCATGCCGTGCCATGCCATGCCATGCCATGCCATGCCATGCCATGCCATGCCATTCAATGCCCGAGTGAGCAGAGAAGAGCCGGGCCACCAGAGCCGCCATATGGTGCAAAACCCACAACAAACCACCCCACCCCACACCACACCACCACCATACCATCACACGACACCCCACCGCACAGCACCCCACTGCAGCCTACCGTGGTCATGTGGCTGTCCCCCCACATGCACGCGCTGCCACGGCTGCTCCACAATGCGGATGGACGCTGCTGTCACCTGGTGGCGAGGGAAAGGGGAGGGGGGGTCATGGTGGCATGGTGGGTGCTTGGTGGCATGGTGGGTGCTTGGAGCCATGGTAAGTACATGCATGGTCATGCGGCTGTCCCCTCACTTGCACGCGCTGCCACGGCTGCTCCACATGTGGATGGGCGCTGCTGTCACCTGATGGTGGTGGGGGGTTTGGGGGTTGGAAGGTGAATTGAATGGGTGCATGATTGTGCAAGAGAAGGAAGCAGCTGCCATGGGTGCTCCACAATGGGGATGGACACTGCTGTCACCTGATGGAAAATGGGCCGGCGGGGGGGTTGGTTGAGTCATGGTGGCATGGTGGGCGCATGCTGTTGGCTCTCGCATGGTGCATGCTGTTGGCTCTCGCATGGTGCATGCTGTTGGCTCTCGCATGGTGCATGCTGTTGGCTCTCGCATGGTGCATGCTGTTGGCTCTCGCATGGTGCATGCTGTTGGCTCTCGCATGGTGCATGCTGTTGGCCCATGCTCCAATGGTGCAGCAGAGGGGGAAGCGATAGGAGGAAGCAATGTGGGAAAGCGGTGGAAGGAGTCGGTGGGGGAGAGCGGTGGGGGCTAACAGCAAGGAGAGGAGGGGGAGATAGGGGAAACCAATGGGGGGAAGAAATGGAAGTGACAAGGGGAACGAGAATGAGCGTGTGTGCGTATTGCACAGGGAGGGGACTGACTGAGTGCGCACTGGGGGGCTGAACTAACCACGTCATAGAAGGACACAAAGTGGCGGCCCAGCTTTATGGCGAACAGCTCTGGTGGTAGCTCGCTGGTGCACTGCTTCGCCAGCACATACACCTGCATGCATGGAGGCTCCGACAAGCAGAAAGGGAGCACCATGAGCAGAAAGCTTACTTGCAGTGAAAGCATGCATGCATGCAGTGGTCGAAATGCATGCAGTGATAGAAATGCATGCAGTGGCACCATGCAGCCATCATGCATGCAGCACTCTAGTTGGATGGACAGGTGCCGCATGACCGCCATGGCATGTCATGTCATGTCATGTCATGTCATGTCATGTCATGTCATGTCATGTCATGTCATGTCATGTCATGTCATGTCATGTCATGTCATGTCATGTCATGTCATGTCATGTCATGTCATGTCATGTCATGTCATTATGTGTGGCATGACAGCACGCAGTAGCAAGGGCGCCTCAAGTGAGAAGAGCCCACCTCCTCTGCGACCCCACCCTCCGCTAGGAGACGTGTCAGGTGCGTCAGGTATATCAGGTGCGTCAGGTGTATCAGGTGCGTCAGGTGTATCAGGTGCGTCAGGTGTATCAGGTGCGTCAGGTGTATCAGGTGCGTCAGGTGTATCAGGTGCGTCAGGTGTATCAGGTGCGTCAGATGTATCAGGTGCGTCAGGTGTATCAGGTGCGTCAGGTGTATCAGGTGCGTCAGGTGTATCAGGAGCATCAGGTGTATCAGGTGCGTCAGATGTATCAGGTGCGTCAGGTGTATCAGGTGCGTCAGGTGTATCAGGTGCGTCAGGTGTATCAGGTGCGTCAGGTGTATCAGGTCGTCAGGTGTATCAGGTGCGTCAGGTGTATCAGGTGCGTCAGGTGTATCAGGTGCGTCAGGTGTATTAGGTGCGTCAGGTGTATCAGGTGCGTCAGGAGGTGCGTCAGGTGTATCAGGTGCGTCAGGTATATCAGGTGCGTCAGGTGTCTCAGGTGCGTCAGGTGTATGTATCAGGTGCGTCAGGTGTATCGAGTGCGTCAGGTGTATCAGGTGCGTCAGGTGTATCGAGTGCGTCAGGTGTATCAGGTGCGTCAGGTGCGTCCTCACTCTCCGCTCATAGCGTTCGTCATGGTATGATGAATGGCGATGCGGAGAGGGTTGACTTCAGTTGCGCCTTACAATAAATTCATTTTTCCCCTCACCGCTTTCCTCCCCTCACTGCACGCCTTATCACCGCAATGCACGCATCATCGCACCGCTCTTCCACTCACCGCGCGTAACGCCCAACCGCGCGCACCCCCGCACCTTGTTCTTCCACTCACTGCGCTCATCACCGCACTGCGCGCATCAGCACACCCTGCGCAGCGCATCACCGCAATGCGCGAATCACATCACCATCACTCGCACCGTGTTCTTCATGGTGTTGATGGCGACGACTGCAGAGCTGCCATCACTCACCGCTCGCATCACCGCACTGCGCGCCTCATCAGCACTGCGCGCCTCATCACCGCACGCGCGCCTCATCACCGCTCTGCCTGCACATGACATCAGCATCAGCGCACCGTGTTCTTCACGGTGTCGGTGGCAACGACCGCGGAGCAATCATCGCCGAGGAACGACGCGTCCGCCTTGGAGGCGAGCGCGATGTCGATGCTCCACTCCACCATCGCGTGCTCGCCGCCGCGTCGCCACACGCGCCCCAGCCGCACGCGCGACTTGCCGTGCTGGTGCCTCGTCAGCGCAACAGCCCCGCTAGTATCGCTCGTCGCCGTTGCTGCGACGGGTGATCGGCGCGACGCCATGGTGGGGGGTAGAGGAGCAAAGAAACAGAGGAGGAGCAAGAAGCAGAGGAGGAGCAAGAAGCAGGCCTTACAGGGGAGTCACCTTAGCAGTGAGTCACCAAAGCCGTGAGCCAAGTAAGGCAATTTCTGTGTACTAATAGTTTAAAGCAATCTATTCTACTATTGTAGGGTCTTCAAGAATCACAATAAGCGCAGTCCTGGGCTCTGCGAGCTGCTCCGAGCTGCTCCGAGCTGCTGCGAGCTGCGAGCTGCTCTGTGTATCAAGTGAGCAGAGGGTACCAGACTTCACTGAGAGGTGAGGTGAGGTTCTCTACGTTAACAAAGCGATGCCGAAGCTTGTGCTTCGGTAATCTTTATTCATCCCAACATTTCCTGTGTCTCCCAAATGAAATCCCTACCGCCTCTTGTCTTTCGGTTTCGCGATTCGTGAAGCTATGTTGAGTGACAGCGCGACAAACGACGCTGAACTTCAACCAATCGGTGAGACACACAGGGTGGCAATTGCGTGCCATGTTACCAAAATGAGTTCGCTCTCCTCGCCAAACTGCAATAAGGCTTGATTGTTTGGTTCGTGCCATGATCGCAGAGGGTGTTAATAGAAATGCCAACTTTCGGGAGGTCCCGTTTATATGATGGAGGGTCCCCTTCGGTCTGTCACGTGAATCAAAAAGCCTTTTGTGTCGAATTGCGACCAGGCATTTTGAAACCGAAAATGAACACCAAAGGAACCCCTGGTAGCATGCCCAATATTGGTGACGAACCGGAAACGACCCAGGTGACCACTCCCTACGGGGCTGTCCTGTCCAGTGTCAGGTCGGTGGAGGAGCTTGGTTGGTGGTCGCGCCTCCCCGCCAACATTCACTCAGGCTAGGTACACCGTTCGGCTTACAAACCGCTGCTACCGTACGTACTTAATCCTGAACTTCGAAACATATTCCCCACGTTAGTAGAACTCCCTACGTACTGCTGTATTGCTGCGCTTCGAGCAGCTCATTAATCTCGCAACCTCGCTAAACCTAGGAGCCCGATTCCCTATACTCCGACATTCCTGCCATTACCCGTTACTAAACGTCGCAGGCGGTTTTAGAGAGACTTCCAAACAACCGTTCCCAATCAATACCCTTATTTAATCGTCCACAGCCAAGCTACGATGGGCCGTCACGTCGCTCGGCGAATATTCTCTTTACATCACTCTCTAGTCGCGGTCGTCCTCCTCTCGCTCCTCCTCGCCCTGCTGCCCTCCTCGCTCGCGCAGCAGCCGGGCATATCGACGAAGATGGCGAGGGAGATTCAGCAGGCCAAGAAGCAGCTCAAGAAGATGCGGATATTCGGACCAATCAACGACGTTATCGACCTAATACGTACGGCTGGATGCGGGGAGAATGGGTGGGAAACAGCGGGGTTTCGTTCCAGCTTTTCTTCAAAATCGCGATTAGGGTTGGGTATCGGGGGGGTTGTCATAAGCAGGAACGCGGCGCCCGTCTTTGAGAATTCTCGAAAGCGACCTACGAGTAGGGTTCGGTGTCGCTGGGTGTCGCTGGGCCGGAGGGTCCAACAGGAGGAATGCGGCGCTCGTTGCGTCCGCCGCGACCGCCACAGTGGCAACAGTGACGGCGTGCAGTTTGCCGTGCAGTACCGCATGCGGTCCGCCGTGCAGGCCGCTGTGCAGGACGTGCAAATCCCCTCTTTCCATTCCTCACCTTTCAGTTTCCCTCTTACATCCCTTCCCTGCAGCAGAACCTTTTGATACCTTCCCAGTCGTTCAGGGAGCTACCGCAGGCGCCAAAAGCGCTCCTCTTGCTCCGCTACGGCCTGCGATCCCCCGCTCCTGTTGCAGTAGCCACGATCGCCTGTGCATTGGAGCTTCGCTCGCCATTGAGTTTATTTCTGCCTTCTCTCCCTCCTCCCCCTCCATTCCCCTCCTCTCCCCTCCTCCCCCCTCCTCTCCCCTCCTCTCCCCTCCTCTCCCCTCCTCTCCCCTCCCCCGTTTTTTCCTCCCATGCAGGGACGTCTGCATCCCGAACGGGTTTATCTTCTGCTGTCACTGCGACAGAAGCACTGTCAGCACGCAATCCACGCAATAAAGAGCGCGAGCGCCTGCGCATACGACCCTTTCTCTCGCCGTTCAGCCACTCCCTTGGGCCTCCTCTTCCCTCCACTCCCCTTCTCTCCCCTCTTCCATTTTCTTCCCTCCACTCTCCTCCTCTCCCCTTCTATCCAATCCTCTCATCACCTCTCTCCTCCCTCCACTCATCCTCTTCCCCCTCCCCCCTCTCCCCCCTCTTCCCCCCCCACCCCCTGTTTTCTTTCCACAGTGACATCGCTCATCCCGCTGAACGGGGTGACCATCCTGCTGCCGCTGCACGCGCGCACCATCCGCTTCTTCATGGCCGCCTTCTCCTCGCAGAAGCAGCAGCAGCTCATTGCCTACCACATCCTCCAAGGCCGCTACGACTACCGCCGCCTGCGCTACCAGCCGCGCGGGCGGCGGCTGAGAACACTGGAGGGCACGAGCCTGGTGAAGCGCGGGCGCAAGGGCGGGCTGCTGGTGGCCGTCAAGGGCAAGGGCGGCGCGCCCGTGCCCATTGTAATGCCGAATCTGTTCAACGGGTCGCAGTTCACCATCCATGCCGTGTCCGGGATGGTCGTCCCACATGATATTTATTGACGTCGGTGCAGAATTGTAGGCGTCTGTTGGGGGTGTAGAATTGCAGGGGGAGTGGCGCTGCATGGAATCTAGTGGAATGCTGCTTGGTTGAGGGGTAAGGGGACTTGTTCGTATAAAGTGAGTTGATGGGGGACTGGTGGTGCCCGCGCTGTTTATGCCCGTATAGTTTGGCGGCTGCTCCTGTAATGTTATTGTGCATGCTCTACAGCCCAGGATGCAAGCAATTTTGCCCAGACGTAACTTTGTACATATGCAACACTGGTTCTGTACCATAGTTACAATTCGCAGGCATGTTTAGACCATGAAGCGATGATTGAGCGTGCAAGTACCAAGAAAGACAGGGTGTGCATGGGAGCCTTCAGTTCAGTGAAGCATGAGGCGCATTCTGGCAGACCTAACATATGGGATGTCGTCAATCCACCACCACTCTGTCACCCTACCCACGTCGACCAGCAAGGGCTCTTTCAGCTTAGGCAACCAACGGAGTGACCCGGGCAGAGAGTTCAGCTCCGGCAAATAGCACAGCTCCAGCGTTTCAAGGTTTTTCAGCTGCCCGAGTGACTTGGGCAGCACAGATAACTTATCCATGTATTCAAGCTTCAGAAATGTGAGGTTCTGCAGCCGTCCGAGGGATTGTGGCAGGTGGGAGAGGCCGTGCATACGGGTGAGGGTGAGGGAAGAGACGGCAGAGAGCATGGAGAAAGAATCAGGGAGAGAGGCGATCTGTGGAGAACCACTTAGTGTTAGGCTGGTGAGAGACGCCAGGCCCCATGGCTTCTGTGCGGTGTGCTGCTCCTTGCTGTGCTGTGGCTGTGGCTGTGGCTCGGTTGACCTATCGGTATGAGTGCAAGCAGTGGTGGGGCCAGCAGCAGCGGCTGTAGGAGCGACAGTGGCAGAAGCAGGAGCTGGGTGAGGAGGAGGCCGAGGCGCAAGGTCAGGAGAAGGGGCAGGATGAACGGAGAAGCAGAAGCAAGGGAACAGGTCACGGGTAATGCGGGATCCGAAGCAAACAGGGGCTCTAGGGACTGGAGGCGAGGGCAGGAGGTGATTTGGAGCTCTTCCAGGCGCGTCAGCATGGCCAGCTGGGAGGGCAGCCGCCTCAGTTCACTGCAGCCGTGCAGGTAAAGCCGCTCCAGACTGTGCCTCACTCTCCTTGTGCACAGGCTTTCGGGCAGCTGCTGCAGATGCACCTCGTCGATTCTCAACGACCTCAATCGCTGTAAATCTCCCACGCTCTCGGGCAGAGCACAGAGGTTGCGCAGGTAGTGAAGCACTAGGGTTTCAAGCTGTACCAGGGCTCCAAGGTTATCAGGAAGGGAGGTGAGTGCAGTGCACGAGTAAATCGAGAGGGAGGAGAGGGGGAGGGAGCACATGGTTTCTGGCAGCTGCAGCAGATCCACTCGTTCTAATTTCAACGATTTCAATCGCTGTAAGTCTCCCACGCTCTCGGGCAGACAGCGGAGTTTGGGCAGGTCGAAGAGCGTTAGAGTTTGAAGCTGTATCAGGGCTCCAAGGTTATCAGGAAGGGAGGTGAGTGCAGGGAGATAGTCGATGGAGAGGGAGGAGAGGGGGAGGGAACAGATGGTGTCCGGCAGGCTCTGGAGGGACACCCAGCGGAGCAAAAGCGTCTCCAATCGCGTCATCGCCCCCATCACATGCTCTGGCAGGCGCTTCAACTTGTCGGACAGCAGCAACAAGGAACTAAGGCTGGTGAGATGCTGGAAGGAATCCGGAATCGACTCCAACATTTCCATGTCGATATCTAGGTCTTGCAATTGCGGTAAGTAACCAATCGAAGGATTGAGGTGAGCGAGAGAGGGGTGGATGAGCTTCAAGCGTCGGAGGTTGGTGAGGCTGCTGATGGAATCCGGGAGACCTTTGAACGCCGATCCTGTTTCAACGCGGAGTTCCTGCAGCTGCTGCAGCGCGCCGATGCTTTCAGGCGGCAGAACGAGATGCTCGAATCGATCCACGTCTTTATCGACGGCGCGGCAGAGATGGAGGGTTGTGAGGTCGGAGAGGAGAGAGACGGCGGGCGGGAGGTGCGGGAGCAGGTGGAGGGTGAGCAGGCGGAGGTCGCGGAGCTTGCGGCAGCCATGGAAGAGAGGCGAGAGGCCGTTGCAAGTGACGTGCATGATGCGAAGCTGGAAGCCTACGGAAAGATGCGTCAATTGCGAACACGTGGCGCCCAGGCATTGGAAGAGAGCATCGCCTTTCGCATCCAGAACGCAATACTCTTTTAGCTCGAGGTGCGTGAGCGAGGAAAAGCGGCGAATTGTGTCTGGGAGAGCGGAGAAGTGGATCGTAGATTTGAATTGAAGGTGCGTGAGCGAGACGCGCGCTATGGCGTACCATCGCTTGGAGACCAGCGCGTAATGGAAGGAGTCGCGCGTTAGCGAGCGCAGCACGAGCGAGAGAAGGTAATCGTCGGATAGTACCTTCGCGATCGGCGACGGAGAAGGTGAAGGGGCCCAGAAGGCGGGGAAGAACGGAGACATGGTACGAATCGTATTACCTTTATGAAAGTTACTAAAATGCTGAAATGATTGGAGCTGACGAATAGCTGCTATTATCGTTTTCAACACACGCGAACAGCAGCATCGAGATAGCAGATACGTAGTAGCATGTATTGCTTTCAGGAAGGGAAGAGCGGGGGCTGTTGGCATCGCAAAACAGCCTACCAGCAGGAAGCCAGTCGCAACCCAAACCTGGGGCCAAACCAATCGCTCGTGTTTGGCAAGCAACTGCGATTGGTCAACTACAACTACCGATTACGAGGCACGGATGGAGGTGAAGAGGTGAGACGGTACTTGTCACATCGGGTGGTAACCAGCTGTTTGAAAATCCAGATTCTGAGGTTTGAGTCTGGTACAGTACGTTTAAAAAAGCAATCAGTTTGGTTTAGGACGGTGTCTGTTCGAACAGGCCTGTTCGAGCTTCCGAGGTGACGCGCCCGTAAAAGTACACACCCGTAACAATACCCCACCAAACCAAATTGATTCCTAAATAAAATACTTCGGATCGTACCGTAACTTACTAAACCGCATTTGGACGTACTCTTCTTTGACACGCCCTCAATGGAATAACTGAAGTAGGTGGAGCTTACTAAAAGCTTAGAGATGTACATAGTAATTTTTGACATCCTCTTACGTCGGAGGCTCTAATGGCTGCCAAAAATACACTTCGAATTGTACAGCTTCGTCAATTTCGAAAATGCAATTCCTGTCAAACTGTTTTTGGGTTGCGTAGCAACCCTATATGTTGGAATAACCGAAAGGTTATAAGCATTCCTGAAGATATTCAAATGTGCCAGTACCGCATTAGCTCATATGGAGCACACGGAAGGTCGAGGGTCACCCGAAGGTCAACCGTCGAGAGAAGTCAACGGGACTTGACCCTTGACCACCCAGTAACCGCGCGACAGTTGTTCGCTGCAATATTGGAACCGTCAATAATAGCAATAGTCGTTACTGTAGCTATGCAATACAGTTAATAAGGGAATGTACCCCTCAGGGCTGACGTTTCATATTAGGCCCCCCTGATTCTGGGGAAAAAATTTCCCCTCGATTATGAGTGCACATTTTTCAGAATGATGCTACCCTGATTGCTCAAGGTTGAAAAGTATGTAACTCTACTTGTTCAGGGTCGAAAATCGAAGATCAGAGTACGGTAGTAATGCGCCCTTTTTTACCGAGGAAAAAGTCTCGCTTTGCGTTAAGTCTACGCTCTGTGTTTCGCGCACACCTTGTGCGCACTAATTTCCACCCTTTTAGTTTTACAAAACAGTATTTTTCCACACGTTTTAGCGCGGGGAAGAGACGAGCGATTTCGGTCAACCAAACATTTCGATTCGATACCACAGATGTGCCAAGTTTTTAATTCGCCGAGTACCTGAATGTCGCCAGCATCGCTGTGCGAAACGCTAAAAATGTCTGGTAACTTCACGCGCACGCAATCACGACAGTAGAACGACCTATTCGGAATGCATGAAAGTATCATAAATTGAGTGTACTCACCTGTCAGACATGCTGCTGTCCGTCGCTCACGCGCTGGCTGTACTGCGATCAATCCGAAGGGAGATATCGGAAGGAAATTTCCAGGAACCTTCGTCCCGATACCCTCGCATTCAGGGTCCACAGGACGCGTACTCTACATGGACAGAGTCAGTAAGAACACTACTCTGAGCCTGGATGCACGATTTCAGGGTTCGCTTAAGTCCTTATCTGTATGGATCAGATTTCACAAGTCACAAATTCTGAAATGGCAGGGACCACCAAGTGACAAGCCTGTAATCACCCTGAAATCAGGGTAATTACCCTGATAAAATCAGCCCTGAATGTACCCCTCAGAGTACATGGCTAGCTAGTTTGCTATTTAATCTCTTGTACTCTCATCTCTTAATCATCTTGTTCTCCTTCAATTATTACTCAACAAGGTCACTACAGAGACTTTATTGTCTCCTCTCAGACTTAACACATCTCATCCTACCTACTTGATTCTTGGTTATATCAGCATGGTATGAGAGCTAGAGTGGATTATAAGATCTGCCAAGTCCTCGTTCTTCCTAGAACAATCTCGTTATAAAGTTACTTAATACATTTCAAGGTCTGCAATACTATGGCTCCTGAAGGAAAATGTCAAACATATATGCTGCATATTGTCTAGGCTGTAGTGGGGTAGCCCATATGGGGTACAACCAAATTAGGGTTTCCTACTTGTACTCCTGCATGCTCTTAGTTCATCATTCCTGCTGCTAGATTCTAACATGGTTTCAGAGCACTAAGGTCCGTAGGACCGTTTTTTTTTTCGGGCCCACCTACCGCTGCGGTTACCGCGCTACCCCACGTACCTGCCTGCCTTGCCTTGCCTTGCCTGCCCCTAGGCCTGCCTTGCCTTGACTTGTGACGTGCTGCACTACGCGAGCCGTCCAGCAGCCCTAGCGCTGCCTCCTGCTGCCCTAGGCCAGCGCGCTGCCCCTAGAGGCCCGTAAGGCCCGCGCGCCGCCCCTACACGCCCTTCAGGCCCGCGAACAGCCCGCACCGAGCCGCGCGCAGCCCGCTGCTGCCGCGCGCTGCCCGCACCGAGCCCGCGCAGCCCGCACCGAGCCGCGCGCAGCCCGCTGCAGCCGCGCGCAGCCCGCACCGAGCCGCGCGCAGCCCGCACCGAGCCGCGCGCAGCCCGCTGCAGCCGCGCGCAGCCCGCACCGAGCCGCGCGCAGCCCGCTGCTGCCGCGCGCAGCCCGCGCCGAGCCCACGCAGCCCGCGTCGAGCCGCGCGCGGCCTGCTACGGCCTCGCGGGCCAGCGCGCCGCCCGCAGCAGCCCGCGCCGAGCTGTGCGCGGCCTGCTACTGCCTCGCGCGGCCCGCGCGCGGCCCGCAGCAGCCCGCGCCGAGCCGCGCGCGGCCCGCTACTGCCTAGCGCGGCCGCGCGCGGCCTGCAGCAGCCCAGCGCGCTGTCAGCGCAGCCCGCGCCGAGCCGCGCGCGTCCCTCTGCCTCGGCCCCGACCTGCCGCTGCCACGGCCCCGACCTGCCGCTGATGCGGCCCCGCCCTGCAGCTGCCACGGCCCCGACCTGCCGCTGAAGCGGCCCCGCCCTGCAGCTGCTTCGGCCCTACTCTGCACCCGGTGTTGCGGCCCCGACGTCGCCGCTGTCGTGCGCCTACTCGGCCGCCGCCCGTCGAGCGCCGACCCTGCTCGCCCGGCGAGCGCCTGCTCTTCCAGCCTTTGGTGAGCGCCTGCCTGCCTGCCTGCCGGCCTGCCTGTCTGCCTGCCGGCCTGCCTGCCTGCCTGCCGGCCTGCCTGTCTGTCTGCCTGCCTGCCTGCCTGCCTGCCTGCCGGCCTGCCTGTCTGCCTGCCTGCCTGCCGGCCTGCCTGCCTGCCGGCCTGCCTGCCTGCCTGCCTGCCTGCCGGCCTGCCTGTCTGCCTGCCTGCCTGCCTGCCTGCCTGCCGGCCTGCCTGCCTGCCGGCCTGCCTGTCTGCCTGCCTGCCTGCCTGCCTGCCGGCCTGTCTGTCTGTCTGCCTGCCGGCCTGCCTGCCTGTCGGCCTGCCGCGCCTGCCCTGCCCGCGCTACTGCTGCTGCTACTGCTACTGGCCGGTGGCCAGATGCAGCTCCAGCGACGTTCACGTGAGTCTCTCACGCCCCAGCAGCTTAGTGAGTGGTATACTAGCTGGGGTTGTCGCGGTAGCCGTCGTAGCTGTCCCCCTGGAGCTGGTCAGTTGGGAGCGTCTGGCAGTGGCCAGCTGCAGCTGCAGCGGCGTCCACGTGAGGCACTTACGTCCCGGCAGCTCCACGAGTGGTACGCTCAGTGTAGCAGGTCTACGCGTACAGTTCGCTGCCAGTACGTCATTCGCACAGGTGATCGGGTTGGTCAGCCTTGCGGGACGCTTGGTCACACACAGTCCCGCTGCTTCGCCCGTCTGAGCGACGACTGGCGTACAGTGTTTGGCGACGAGGCTGAGCTCCCCGACTGGCTGGAGCTGCTTGGACAGAGGGTAGATATCTTTGCTCCTGACTATGATGCTATTCTCACTGCCATGTATGCATTGCCTACTAGTGTTGACCGTGCCTGTTACCTGTGCGTCCCGCCTGACCCTGGTATAGCACCTGCTGCTCCCGGTACTGGTGAGGCTGCTGCCCTAGGTGCTCGTGCGTCTCCTCCTCTGGGTGCTGGTGAGGCTGCTGCTCTAGGTGCCGGTACGTCTCCTGCTCCAGGTGCTGGTGAGTCTGCTCTCTCTGGTTCTGCGCCTGCTGCGGCCTTGTACACCTTCACGCTTGACTCAGGTGCTTCCCGCTCCTTCTTTCGCGACTGTACCACACTCACGCCGCTTAGTCGGCCGGTTCCAGTCTCCCTGGCGGACCCCTCCGGGGGTCCAGTCCTTGCCCACTACTCCACGGTTCTGCCGTGTCCGGCCGCCCCGTCTGGCTCGCTGTCAGGTCTTTACCTCCCCTCGTTCTCTACGAACTTGGTGAGTGGAGCTGACCTCCAGGATAGGGGGGTGCACCAGTTCACTCCTGCGAGTCAGCGAGTGACTCACTGTACGTGTGCTCGGACCGGCCGACACCTGGCCACGTTTTCCCGTGCGCCTGGCTCGAGTCTGTACACCCTGACCACTGCGTCCCCTCAGGTAGCTGCGTCTGCGTCTGCGTCAGGTCAGCCGACGGCCCCCTGCGAGTGTCGCGCTTTGTCGCACCAGACCCTCCTGTGGCACCACCGCCTTGGTCACCCCTCGGTGCAGCGCCTTCGTGGCATGCACTCTCGCTTCCTGGTTTCTGGTCTGCCCAGGTCTTTGCCTGCCCTGCCTCCCTCGCTTGCGCCGCCCTGCATTCCTTGCGTCGAGGGGCGGCAGCGCGCCGCTCCTCACTCCTCCTCGTTCCCTCCCACAGAGGCTCCCCTGCAGACTCTCCACCTGGACGTGTGGGGCCCAGCCCGCGTCCGTGGACAGGGCCACGAGCGGTACTTCCTGCTGGTTGTTGACGACTACACGCGTTACACCACGGTC